GGCTCGTTGGATTCGTCTCGTCGAGCCGTTCGATTCGAGTATAAGCTCGTCAAAATCGGAGTCCGTTTGGTAACTCAAATAGTGGTTTGAACCTTCCAACAGCGCTTTGGATCCATGATTTGGACCCATTTGGGCTCGGATTGGGTTGATCTTGGTGTCGTTGGGTTCGTATTTCCGAGACGCTCAGTTTGATTGTAAGCTCGCTGAAAAAGGAGTTCGAGTTCTCCCAGAATTAATTTTTGAAGTTTCCAACTAGCTTTTGCCTCGAGATTCGTGCCCGATCAAGCTAATTTTGCATGACGTATCAAAGGTATTTATCCGCTGCCACCTCTTGTGAGATTTTTGACGGCGTAACTAATTTCACGGCGAGCCTATCAGCAATCAGCGTCATAGGTGTAATACCCACAATTATTTTCTCCCCACTTAAGAGGTCGCGCCATAGGGGTGTCAATTATTGACACGACACGACAACCCGACCAGAAAAATCCGGGCTAGGGTTGACCCGTTTTACAAAAGGGTCGGGTTCGAGTTTAAATTTTAGACCAATTTAAAAAGGGTTGGGTTCGGGTCAACCCGGTAACCCGAAATATACTCGAGATGACCTGCATACACCTTCGCCCGTTTTAATTTTTCCCGCATGGGAGGGAATCGAGGGACCGAATGTCCTTTCGCGTCATCGCCTGACCAGGCAGACCAGCAATCCACGTAGCATGGCAAGTTGTCCGCATCATTCAGGGATTGGACTGCGGGTGCAGACCAGCCGTCAGGCCTGTCTCCGCAAGGCCTCTGGCCCCCTGCGCGCCTGCACCGACGTTAATCCCACACAGTCACATGCGAGGACCTCACTGTCACCTGCATTGCCTGAGAGTCGTCGCCTGGCCGGTGGCTAGCCTGGCCCTGCCTATCGTCGGTCGAGCTAGACCCGCCCCGTTGAGCTCCATATGGCAAATCAGAAAACCCGCACGTGATTTCTAGCTCGCGGGTCGGGTTGCGCCAACCCGGTTACCCGTACAGGTCGGGTCTGAGTTGACAAACCTAACCAGTTTGCAAAATCGAGTTGGGTTAGTGCAACCCATTTATGGCCGAGTCGTTGGGTTCAACCCGACCAGAACCCGACCCGTTGACCCGAATTGACACTCCTATCGCGTCATAAGAGAGGGGAATCAAACATGGTTTATAGGGTTCCCAGCCATGCTTGCCCATCAACCAGCTAAGCCTAGTGGGATATTTTGATCAATTTTTCTTAGAATATTTAATAAAATATTCGCAATAAAAATAATTATTAAATCTCACTGCTGTCTATTAATGTTCATTCTTCGATAAAATAGGGCTAAATTTGATTCAAGTTTAAAAATAAATAGTTAATTTAAAGATAATTAAAATCATACAAATTTTAATAAAAGGTTCTTATTGGAGAATAAGAAAATATAAATATAACAGAAAAAAAAACTAAATAAATACTTTGATAAAAATTTTGATCACGTTGAATTTCAGAATTAAATACTACTTTTATAAAAATTTAGATCACGTTGAATTTCAGAATTATACATATAATTTAAGATAAATATAATATATTAAAATAATATTATACTTATTTTAAAATAAATAGATTTTAAAAATTATAAAATTCATCATCAATTTTTTCAATATGATTTATTTTTTTGGAGTAGTTTTGTTTTTCAATAGATATAAAATATAAATGAATCATTAAAACTTATCCGTCACCTTCTCCCCAATATTTGGGTTTTTAATTAATCTCGTTGTCCGAGAAAACCTCTCTTTCCTTCTATAACTAGCTAGCTCTCCATTCAAATCTAGCCAAGGCTTCCCCTCTAGATTCCATTGAAACCTCCATTTAAAGCGACTCCCACTTGCATCGATCTCAATGGATGGACAAGGCCACAACAGACCGCCGCCACCCTCCGGCGACGTTCCCCATTTGCCCAACTTCGCCGCCGACGCAGACCCCAATCTCTATCCCGAGCAGGTAGTGCATCAACCACAGCCCGGTCGATGCTACTGGGCCGATCAATACCGCGAGATGGAGGAAACCACAGATTTCGAGAAGCAAAGGATCCCTTTAGGCACCATCAAGAGGATTATGATGGCTGACGAAGACGTGGATATAGTCTCCAACGAGGCGCCTGTGCTATTGGCACGTGCCTGCGAGATGTTCATCCTCGAGCTCACCCACAAGGGATGGGCTCACGCCGACCAGAGGTGTCGTCGGACTATCAAAAAGGAAGATATCATTGCTGCAGTGAACGAAACAGATTATTGTGACTTCCTTGTGCCTACAATAACCACTGAGGAGCCCACGGAACCAGATTCTTTTGAACTTGCTACTGGTCCGGCTGATTTGCTGAGCTAGAATGAGGTGGCCTTTCCTTATGCTGCTGCCCTTCTCCAGCTTTTCGTAGTTAAATTGCTATTTTTTTTCTAAACTTAGTTTATATATGCTTTATGTTTCTAATATTTGTAATATGTGCTTTGAGATTCGCGAAGGAATGTTTTAGTTGTCTAAATAAATGTGGAGATGTGTTATGCCTCCTGAAAATTTTTATTATTTATGTGTATAGGTTGATGCTTGCATAATGTTAATATATTATTTTTTTTTCTATTGTTTTTGTGTGAGTTGGAAACTTAGAGAATTAAATTTAGAATCATCGGGGCACTAATTTTTTTTAAAAACTTATAGACGAATTGAACATTGAAGAAATCGAGCGACGGGATCAGGAAAGAATAAGAACAGAGAAAGAAGACAGGAGGAAATAAAACCTCTAATTAATATCATATAGAATACATGTATATATAGACTTATGAGACAACCTTTTGTTACATAAGAACCAATATCAAAGTGTCACCTCAGCAATAAAGAAATGGTACAATATTTATATTTTGTTGTGTACTAATAAACATGTTGATGAAATAAGTCCAAGGAAACCAAAAGTTTTTTATGTGGGTCTAAATAAGCTTAAATCAAATATTTAAATCATAGTAATAAACTTTATGATATTAATCAAAGAACTAAATGATCTACTTAATCTTTTTCATGCATTGTTAAAAAACTCGACTGCTTTTTCCCGTGGCGACTTGGAGGCGATTTCTAGGGTTTCCTCTGCTTCGCTTATCTGTGGCGTTCCGACTAGTTTTCTCCGGTGATTTCGTCTCCTTTTCTTAGAGCCTTGTTTTTTATTCTATATCTTGTCTCTGGTTTGGTTTTCCTGGCGTTTTTGGTGTGGGATGATGACGGTTTCGTCATCATCAAACCCAAATCCTCCTCTTATGGCAGGGAAAACTAGATCCTTTAAAGAGGCCCTTGCTGGGGGTTCTTGCTCTGCTCCGAAACTGAGTTTTATCAAAGCTTCTTATAAAGGTGTTCCTGCGTTGCTTTTCGAGGATAATGTTGTTGAACAACTCGCTGCTCCTTTTGCATTTACTTTAGTTGGTAAATTTATTTTAAGACGGCCTAACATAGATGTGATTCGGAAATTCTTCGTGAATCTCAAACTCTCTGGAAAAAAAAAAAAAAGTAGAATCCTAAAGGTCCAATTTTTTGTTTCAATATATTAATAAATAAAGGCTTTTTCGATTTCTAATTAAAGATAAATAATTAAAAAAATGATTAACTTATATAAGACATTACATTCACAATTTCGTATTTAATTTTGTTGGTTTAACTAGATGAATAAACACTATTAAATTGTAATTTTCATTGATTAATATATGGGCTTTAGATCCCAATTCTCCCAAAAAAAAAAAATCTAGTTTTACTTGTTTCATTCTCAAATTCGCTCTTTTATAAACTAGAAATAAATATTTTTTTAAAAATTTCACAATATACATAATATTATATTGCAAAATAAAATATAGCATCAATATTCATTTTCAATTAATTTTGGTATAGTCGAAATTAATATAGAGCAAAATTTAATTTAACTTGAAATTAAAAGATTTAATTTCTAGTTGATAGATAGCCCTTTTTGAAGGATAAAAAAATACATACATAATAGAAAAATATCATATCACGATATTGATCAAAATCTTTTAGCTATGATTTAAAATGAGTGTAATCCATAAAAAATTAATATTTCACTCATCCTAAACAGATTCAAGCTAGGATTAAAAATGCCATCCTAAACATTTTTTTATTAAAATATCTCAATAAGACAATTTTAAAATAAAAATGAATTATTAAAATTCAACGCCTCTTTCATCTATTAATATCCAATTCTCTATAAAATAAAGCTAAAGTTGATTTAAATTGAGATTAAAATAGTTAATTTGGAGTTTAATTAAATTTATTAAAAAATCAATAAAAAATATTAAACCTTATCCGTTACTTTTCTCTCTTAACGTCCGGTCCATATTTTTTCTTACGCCATATTAACGGCTAGCCTCATTTTAAATTTGCAACACGTCCTAGTATTTGGGTTTCTAATCTCCCTGCCCTAAAAATTCTCTCTTTCCTTCTATATAACTAGCTTATCTTCTTCATTCAAATCCATCATCCGCTTCCCCTCTAGATCAGACTAAAACCTCGACTGAAAACGACGCCCACTCGAATCAATCTCAATGGATCAACAAAACTACAACACGCCCCAAGCAATCGGTGATGGCGGCTCTCTGCCCAATCCGGTCGCCGGCGCTGCAACACCCTACCAAGCTACCTATCAGCATTTCTACCACCAGCAACAACAACAAGAACTGCGAACCTTATGGGCCAATCAGTACCGCGAGATCGAGCAAACCAAAAATTTCAAAAACCAGAATCTCCCACTGGCTCGCATCAAGAAGATAATGAAGGCTGACGAGGACGTGAAGATGATCGCCGCCGAGGCGCCGGTGGTCTTCGCACGGGCCTGCGAGATGTTCATCCTCCAGCTCACCCAAAAGGGGTGGACTCACGCCGTGAAGAACAAGCGTCGAACTCTCCAAAGAAATGATATCGCCGCAGCAATCGGCCAAACAGACATTTTTGACTTCCTTGTGGATATAGTTCCGGCTACCGAGGGAGGAGGGGAGGGATAAGGCTGTTCCCAAGGCAATCCTTTGTGGGGAGATTCATTCGTCGCACTACTACATGCAACAGTAATAGAGGTGGCAAAATGAGTGCCCTGCTGCCTTCTATGATGTTGTTGGCCTTCACTAGTTTTCATAGCCTAATTTCTTGAGTATCTAAATTTTTTAAAAAAAAATGACGTGCGGTGTGCGGAGTACAGATACGTTCAGAGGTCAATTCGGATGCGTCAAATTATCCAATACACAATGCATTGTATGATATGATGCATCTGAATTGACCTCCAAACACGTTCTGACTCTGTACATAATAATCTCTCCTAAATTTATGTGGAGATATTTTGCGTTCTCTATTATTATATTATGTGCTTTGGGATTTGTAATTGAAAATGTTCGTTAGTTGATTATATTAGGGTTGCTATATTTTTATTGAATTTTCTAAATTTATTTATTTATTTTACACCTTAATTACATTAGATAACAGTTTTTGTAATCATTTTTTTCAGAAACAAATGATTTCTTTAAATCAAATAAACTCTAGCTAAACTTCCCTCTTCAATCATTAATTAGATGGCTCTCTCACTCTCTTCCTCTCATAATTGAGAGGATGAATGGCAAATCGGAGGAAAGATAATGAGGAGAATCTATATCAACAGAAGAAAAATAGGTCATATGAAGGTAATAATCTACAAGGATTATTAGTTTGTAAATCCTCAATCATTTTAAAACTATTTTAGAATTAGTAACATATTTAAAATTTGCTAAGCAAACATTTAATATACCCAACTATAATCTTTTTTTAGTTGTTTCATGCTCAAATACCATCTGTATAAATCATAAATAAATATTTTCAACAGTTTCACAACATACATAATATTATATTGTAATTGTTGCATCCTGGAATATTCATGGTGGAAGAGAAATATAAAGTTTTGTGTCATAGCTTTGTACGAAGATCATCACACAAAAAGATTAAAGAACAAGGGTGCAACGTTCATAAAAGGCACCATAATTTTTACGTAAAAAGTTTCAGAAATTAAGAAAAATCACGGGATCATTTCCAGTCGAAATGATTCCAATAGCGTTTTTGGTTAATTACAAATAACACCCTTCATTGTAGGAGGGCGTTGGCTCAATATAAAAAATATACATTGCATAAAACACATTAAATAATTGGAGAATCACACGACAATTGTTCTCAAGAGAGTATTATCCTGCTTGTTTTGTTGGTAGGATCGTGGTTGGATGATGATGGTAAAAAGGATCGTAGTTGAGTGATAGTGCTCGAAGCGATCATAATCCGCAAGTGACGGTGGTCGAAGGGACATTATTCTGGCGATGGTGGTCTGACAGACTGTAGTCGAGCGAGGAAGATCAAAAGGACGGTTGTTGGGCGATGGTGGTCAGATAGATTACAGACGGCGAGAAACGTTGGTCCAAAGAACTATAGTCGGGCGATAATGGTCGAAGAGACTATAGTCGGCAAGAGATAGAGGTCAGAAGGATCGTTGTCCGACAATAGTGGTTTGAAAAACTATAGTTGACGGGTGATGGAGGTTGGAAGGGCTGTAGTCGGGCAACTATATGGTCGAGGGGAACGTAGTTAATTGGCTACAATGGTTGGAGGGAGGCTCGTTAGTGGTTTCAAAATGGTGCAAGGGTTGAGCTTCATGATTCTTCAAGCTCCATAACTCTTCCATATTAATTCCCACAATATTGATTCACTACAGGAAAAACGTCATTTTCCGGCGGCCATTTTCAAGGGAAAAATGGCCAAAATTTGTGGGAAATTAGCATTTCCAATGGATTTGTGGCGGAAATCTTTTCGCATGTTTAACGCACGTCGGAAAAGCTTTCCGATGCAAAATAATTCACCGGAAACATTTCCGCCGAATTTGTCGCTATAAAAATATTTCCGACGGGATTTTTTTGCGCCAGAAATTGAAGAAAAAAAAAACTTAAAATTTCAAAAGTAGCTAGACGGTTTGAATTTTATTTAGTCATCCAATTAATGCTCTAAAACTTTCAAAAATTCTTTAGACCTTTGATTTTTGCTTATTTGGGCTCGGATTTGATGTCATTGGGTTCATCTTCTCAATTTAACTACAAGCTTACTAAAATAGTAAAATTGGAGTTTGAATGGTTCCAATTTAATTTCATAATTTTTCAATTCAAGTTTGCATCAAGATTCTTAGATTCATGTCTGATCAAGATAATTTTTTGTCAGTAATATACAATATAGCAATTATATTTATTTTATAATTAATTAAAAAATTAATATTGGGTAGACTCAAAATTAATATAGAGTTAAATTTAATTTAAGTTGAAATTATAAGATTTAATTTTGAGTTGAATTGAACTCATTCAGGTTTTAATAGATAGTTAAATTTCAGCACACCCTCTTGATCATATTGATATCTCGATTCACGGTGAAGCACACTTGTATTGATCTCGATGGATCAGTAAAGCCACTGCACGCTAAAGGCAATCGGCGTCACAGACTTTGTGCCCTACTCTGCCAACTCCGTGGCACCCTACAAAGCCACCTATCATGATCTCTACCAGCAGCAGCAACAACAACAACAACAACTTCAAATCTTCTGGGTCCATACGAGTCATGAGATCAAAGAAACTGGCCGGAGATTTCAAAAACCATAATCTCCCACTAGCTCGCATCAAGAAGATAATGAAGGCTAACGAGGCTCTGGTGGTCTTCACACGTGCCTGCGAGATGTTCATGCTCGTGCTCACCAACAGGGGATTGACTTAATTACGCCGAGAAGAACAAGTGTCGAACTCTAAAAAAAAAAAGATATTGGAGCTGCGATAGGCTGAACAGACATTTTTAACTTCCTTGTGGATATAGTACCAACTACCAAAAGAGAGAAGGGGAGGGAGAAGGCTGTTTCTTATAAGGCGATCCTTGGTGGGCCGGTTGATTCGTTGCACTGCCATATATGTGCAGGCGTGCATCCATATTTGAGGTGGCAAAACTGTATGCCCTACTGCCTTTTATAATGTCGCTGACCTTTCCTACCTTTCACAGTTAAATTATTTTGTTTATCCAAATTTTGGCATGGGTGGGATGATTTTTTATTTACTAGAAAGTTTCTTTAAGAAGGAGTGCATGAGAAAGTCGTCCGACATTAATCTTTAATTTGTTTTTAAAGTGTTTAAAGCTTGACAACTTTCTTAGGTTTCTTAATGCTTTTCAAAATAGATTTTTAACATTTTTGTATTAAAATGCTCATTTAAAAAGCAGTAAAAAAATCGTCCCAAATTAAGCCTAAATAGTTAGGGAGTTCTTTTATGTTATCTATTATTTTATGTTTTGATTGTTATGCATCTCCAATATCTCCTATAAATTTCTATTATTTATATGTGTATATGCTGATAATTGCATAATCTTAACTATAATAAATTTATTTCTATAATAAAATATCTCTTTGATGCAAAGACATTAGCTTTTAGCAATTTATATAATAGATTAAATACTAAGGAGGGAGAAAAATATATGTATAAGTTAGCCAAACAAAGAGATAGGAGTAGTAAGGATTTAGTTCAAGTGAAGTGTATTAAGGATGAAGATCAAAAAATACTTTTCTTAGAAGATGATATTCAACAAAGGTGGATGAGATATTTTGCTAAACTTTTTAATGAAGAGTGTGAAAATAAGATTGACTATAATGACCTTAGCACCCTAAATGAAAGTAAAGATTTCTGTTTTTATCGGCGTATTAGTAAAACTGAAGTTAGAGAGGCTTTAAATAGAATGAAGGGTGGAAAAGCTGTTGGACATGATGATATTCCAATAGAGATGTGGAAATGCTTAGGAGATGAAGGGATTTCTTGGCTTACTAAACTTTTTAATACTATTTTGAAGACTAAAAAGATGCCAGATGAGTGGAGAATGAGTGTATTAATTCCTATTTTTAAGAATAAAGGCGATGCACAGGATTGCACGAATTATAGAGGTATTAAGTTAATGTGTCATACTTTAAAAATATGGGAGGGAGTTATGGAGCATAGGTTGCGACTTGATACTAATGTTTCTCAAAATCAATTTGGATTCGTTCCGGGTAGGTCGACTATGGAAGCCATACATTTATTAAGAGGTTTGATGGAGAAATATAGAGAAAATAAGGAGGATCTACATATGATATTTATTGATTTAGAAAAAGCATATGATAAAGTTCCAAGAGAAGTGCTATGGAGAGTTCTTGAAAAGAAAGGAGTCAATAATGCTTATATTCAAATCATTAAAGATATGTATGCAGGAGCTATTACTTGTGTTCAAACACAAGGTGGATTGACCAAGTATTTCCCTATTTCGGTTGGGTTACATCAAGGATCAGCCTTAAGCCCATATCTTTTTGCTTTAGTCATGGATGTTCTCACTAGACATTTGCAAGATGATGTACCTTGGTGTATGCTTTTTGCTGATGATATTCTTCTTGTTGATAAGACTAGAGAGGGAGTTGAAGGTAAACTTGAATTATGGAGGTCAACCTTAGAGTCTAAAGATTTTCGCTTGAGTAGATCTAAAACGAAATATATGGAGTGTAATTTTAGTAGTAATAGACCTACTGAAGGGATTGTGACTTTGGGCGATCAAGTCATTAATAAGAGTACACGTTTTAGATATCTTGGATCTATTGTTCAGAGTGATGGTGAAATAGATGGGGATATTATCAACAGAATTCAAGTTGGATGATTGAAGTGGAGGAATACATCGGTCTTGTTGTGTGATAGAAAAGTACCCCTCAAACTTAAGGGAAAATTCTATAAGATGATAGTGAGGCCTGCAATGCTTTATGGTGCCGAATGTTGGCCATTAAAAGAGAAGCATAATACTAAGTTAAGTGTGACAGAGATGAGGATGCTCAGGTGGATGAGTGGCTTTACCCTTACAGATAGGATACGAAATGAGCATATACATGAAAAGGTTGGAGTAGCTCCAGTAGAAGATAAGATTAGAGAGAGTCGCCTTAGATGGTTTGGTCACATAAAAAGGCGGCCTTCCGACGACCCAGTTAAGAGAGTAGAGGTATTAGATTTGACTTATATTAAGAAAGGTAGGGGTAGACCTAAAAAGACCTGGTTAGAAAATATTAGGAATGACCTTTCTTTATTAGATTTAAACGAGAATTTGACCTTTAATAGGACACAATGGAGAAAAAGGATTCATGTAGCCGACCCCACGTAGTGGGATAAAGGCTTGATGTTGTTGTTGTTGTTGCTGCTGCTCTCAATTTTTATGCATATTCTCAAAGAAATTAGAGTATTAATTTATCAGTGTGTGATATAAAATTATTCATGGATTTGTTCACCAAAAAAAGTTGCTTGCACCCAAATTATTGTATCAGGTTTTATCTGAAAGAATGATTACCACATTAACTTCGACTTACTACTACAAGTTATTTCAATTCAACTGTTGGTATCTGATTTCCTATTTTAGCACACAATTGATCTTCTGAGTTGTCCATCAACTAATTTGGAACTTCACGGTTTATTGTTTCCATAAACTATTTTAACTTGGATGCAAGTTACTGTAGCAATTTTCGACTGCTAGGATTTCTTCTATTCCCATAATCGGAACTAAAGCAATTCTCGATTTGCCTTATATGCTTATTCGGTATTGTAGCTTCGTTCACTGATTGATTTTCTTTTTGTATTTTAGTTGAAAATCCAATATTAGTAGAGTATTTTTTTTTTAATTGGAAACTCATTATTTTGTTGAAACTATGGTAAGAAATTTAATGCTCTTGCTGGAATTCAAGTTTTTGGGATTGAAACTTGTAATATTATGTTAGATCTGAGGAGATTCATATAATTTACTTGTTTTGGATTTTCTTGGGCTATAAATAGGGCTAATGATGTATATAAGCTTCATTGGATGATTGAACAATTGAATGAAAATTTTCAAGTTTGCTCTTAATTCTTATGCATATTGTTGGATGTAGATTCTTTAAGCTTTCTACATGTCTTAATGATAACTTCGGGAGGTTAATTCTCCTTGTTGTCATGAAAACTATACTTTCAATTGATGATTTCTATCCTTGTTCTTTCTTATAAAATGTGTAAGGATTTATTTGTGTGCGTCATTGATATTGTTAAGTTCGTTACTAGCTATTTCTTATTTTCATGGATTTTTTTTTTTTTTTTGTTCTCAGATTTCGTAGGAAATTTTAGATTCTGACAACTTTTAAGTTATTATTTAGAATGAATGTGGTGCTTTTTCTTATTTTGCATTAAAAATCACCAATCTTTGTCTAAATTGAAAAGTTTTAAAAAACTGCAAATTGTATTCTTTTGTGTATTCCTTTGCCCAACTCATCCTAAGTTCACATTACTAAATCCTAAATCCTAAAACACCCTACATCAACTAGTTACTATAATCTTGTCAACATAAAAAAATAGATTGAAAAATATGAAGGCACATATCTTTTCTTGCTAGAGTAGTGAGACGAAAGTAGAAAAAGATATACTATGAGTGCTTGGATATAATAGATTTGCTTAATCATGTTCATATTTATTCAAAAGGTTTTCCACACATGTACCTTACAGGTATGTGATTGCATGTCTTTTGTTGTTGACATGGCACTATAATAGTAGGATGGGTACCTTGATGAATTCTTCTTATACCTGACAAAAACAATCCCCATCTCTTAATAAAACCGATAAAATGTTTTGGCTGATGCTACTATGATTATTGATTAGTAATGCATTAGTTCTGGAAGCAATTGTTGTTTTACTGACATTCTCAATAAAATTCTTACATGTTTCTGTTAAATTTAAAATAATATTATACTTATTTTAAAATAAATAGATTTTAAAACTATAAAATTCATCATAAATTTTTTAAAATATGATTTATTTTTTGGGAGTAGTTTTTTTTTTAATTTTTTTTTCAATATGATAAATGAATCATTCAAACTTACATGTCACCTTCTCTCATTATACGCCTGAGTATTTGGGTTTTTGATCTCGCTATCCAAAAAAATCTCTTTTCCTTCTATATATAACTACCTCCTCCTCTCCATCCAAATCTAGCCAAGGCTTCCCCTCTTGATCTGATTGAAACCTTGATTCACAGCAACGCCCACTCACATCGATCTCAATGGATCGAAAAGGCCACAAAAAGCCGCTGCCGCCACAACACGCGGCTGCCGCCAAGGAGACGCCTGTGATATGTGAACGTGCCTGTGAGATGTTCATCCAGGAGCTCACCGAGAAAGCGTGGGCTCACGCCCAGAAGTCGAATCGTCAGACTATCGAAAAGCGTGATATCGTTGCTGCAGCCAAAGAAACAGGCCATTGTGACTTCCTTGTGGATAGAAAAAGGAAGAACCACAGAGGAGCTCATGGAGCCAGCTCCTCTACGGCGATCCCCGGTGATCCGCTTGATCCGCCTGAACCGCGGTACCACGGCAATAATTGAGGTGGCCTTACCTTATGCTACATTGCCACTGTCCTTCTCCAGCTTGAATTCGTAGTTTTATTGCCTTTTTTTTTTATATCTAAACTTAGTTTATATATATCTGAGTGTCTAAATAAATGTGGAGATGTTTTGTGTTTCTAATATTAGTAATATGTGCTTTGAGATTCGTGAAGGAATGTTTTAGGTGTTTAAATAAATGAGGAGATGTTTTACGTCTCCTGAAAATTTCTATTATACACAACTCTCCTTGGCCTATTGGTTGAGAGCTTAGGCTTCAAACTAAGAGGTCCAAAGTTCGAGTCTATGTGTATGCGTTGTGTGCGTGAGTTTGCCTTAAATGACCTAAATGTCAAAAAAAAAAAGAAAATTTCTATTATTTTTTATGTATAGGTTGATATTTGCATATTTTTTGTCTATTGTTATAAATTTTTTAGCACGTAATTGCTTTATTTTAATAAGATATAAAAGTAAATGATTTTAAGATTATTTCTATTCAAGCATTTTAATTAATCAAATACATAAGGTGAAATTAATTGTTAAGGCTTTTTTATACAAGTACATATGATTTATATTCATGTGTATGATTTAGACATTCATTATTCTACATAAAATAAATTTGTTATGCATATGATCAATTGGTTTATATTATTAAAAACTTCTATATGCATAATAAATATGTGGATATGTCATTAGAAATTTTATCAGATCATATGTTGAATTAATATTTGAGTTCAAAACTTACAGAGTTAAATTCAAAATAATCTAATCTCTAATTTTTTTTTTTTATAAACTTGTAGATGAATCGAACATGTTCAAGGGGGTTCCACCCTTGAGCTCAAGGGAGTTCCGCCCCTCGCATGTATGTGTGTGTGTCCATGTATCGAATAAGCTAATGATAACCTAATAATAACACTAAATACTAATATTTATTGGATGTATGATTATGATCCAAATCATAAATTATATGATCGAAATTTTATTTGGGAAGAAACACAGATCATTTTTATATGGTAGTATAGAATTTTTGAAATATAATTTACATAAATCTTTATATTTTCATAAAAAAGAGCTTTTGATTAATACACACATTAAGCATAAAGAAAAATGATAAATACTAAGATACAGGGGTGGATTTAGGGGTGCAAACGAGTCGAGTCGAGCTCGAGCCAGGGGGTGTTCGAGTCGAGCTCGACAATAAAAACCCGAGCTCGAGCTCGAACTCGAGTCGAGTTCAAAATCCGAGCTAGAGCTCGAATCGTCGTCATATCGAGCGGCTCGTCGAGCTCGATTATCGAGCCCGTCGTAACATCCGTCATCGAGCTCATATGTCTGCCGTCGAGATTCGTCTCCTGAAGTCGTAGCATCCGCCGTCGAAACCGACGTCCCGAGCTCGTCCGCCATCAAGAACCACCGTTGAAAACTGACGTCCCGAGCTCGTTCGCCATCGCGTCCGTCGTCATCGAGCTCCTAGTCGCGCCGCCCGTCGTCGAAAATTGACGTGACGTCAGAACCAATGTTCTGAGATCCGTGGTTACGTCCCGAGCTCGTCCGCCATCGCGTCCGTCGTCATCGAGCTCTCAGCCGCGCCGCCCATCGTCCTGAGCTTGTCCGCCGTCCAGAACCAACGTTTCGAGATCCGACGAGCTCTGGACGAGCTATGCCATCGATATCCATTGCCCTGAGCTTGCAGTCGCGTACACCCGTCATCCCGAGCTCGTCCGCCGTTGATCCAGGCGTGCACTACCGTTGTTTCGATTTCGAGCCCTGATATTTGAATTTCCCGCGCGCGATCTTGGCCATCGAGCTGCTCGTCGAGCCGACGAGTCAAGTCTGACGTGTGTTCGAGCTCGATTAGCTGTCGAGCTCGAACTCGTGTTCGAGCTTGACTCGCAAGCTTGATAAGCTCGACTCGTCGAGCCTGTTATCGAGTCGAGTCCGAGCCTCCTCACGAGTCGGCTTGACTCGGTTGCACCCCTAGGTGGATTTAGGTGTTATTTTGCCTCCTCCATTAATTTATGGTGTGCTCCTCTCCCGCTAACTCTGACCCTCTTATTCTACGCTTCTCTCCCACGAGCACTAAGTTGGAAACTTATCCCACCTGGCCTGCTCCAATTTATATTCCCATGCATGAGCCCTAGTGGAGTGATTATTTCTTGCTTCAATGAATATGGAGACTTGGAGAGCTTCACTGTAACCCCGCCCCCTTTCTTCTTTTACAATCCTCTTAAGAGACCACGGAGCTATAAAATTTCTCACTCAATGTGGCTAGTTTATTTAGAGAAAAATTATTCCGTCATGTTACCTGACGTATAGCTACATCAGGTAGCCTATAATATGTCGCCACGTGCACTTTTCCTGTACCGCGCGGCCCGACGACCCGACCCGGAACCGACCCGGGAGTTTGCGTACCTCGATATTGCTAGGTATTGGTCGATTTTGCTCGACAAAAACCAAAAATACTATTATGTGAAGACCAATACCGAGCAATAACTTGGTATTGCTCGGTATTGGTCGATATTGGTCTTCACATAGCGGTATTTCTCATTATTGCCAAGCAAAACAGAGTAATACCTAGCAATACTGAGCAAATACAGAGCAATACGCGAACATAGTAATCCCGGATTCGGTCCGAGTCGGGTTGTCGGGCCACGCGGTACAGGAAAAGTGCACGTGGCAACATATTATAGGCTACCTGATGTAGCTCTACGTCAGGTAACCTGACGGAATAATTTTTCCTATTTAGATGCTCACAGCTGGTGCTCGACCATTTGCACTGTCTATATATTTATGCTAATTTTTTTATGAGATATAATTATAATTGACTGTCTAGTTTGCTAATTATAGTTGATATATCCTAAAAAATTAATCATGATTGGGCATGAATCTCGAGGCAAAATCAATTTGGAAACTTCAATTCCGAAATCAAATATGGGACCATCCGAACTCCGATTTCAGTACTTATAGTCGAACTGAACGTCTCTAAAACACGAACTAACGACATCAAATTCGACTCAATAAGAGCACAAATGAGTCCAAATCAAAGACCCAAAGAGCTTTTAGAAGGTTCAAATCATAAATTGGATGACCAAATGGTTTCCAAAGGTGACATGCTTATACTTGAATCGATCGGCTCGACGAGACAAATATGGGACCACCGACCATCGTTGTTCTATCGCTGTACTTCCGCTCGTCCACCGGCTGACGCTGGACTTCTATCTGACCACCAACTGATACTGGACTTCCACCCAGCTTCCAATTATTGTTAGACTTACACCCGACCACCAACAAACGTTAGATTTCTACCTGGTCACATATCGTCGTTGGACTTCCACCCAGTGGTCAACTATAGTCCTTCCGACCTCTGTCGCCAGACAATGGTCTTTCTGATCACTGTCGCACGTTGACTACTATATTTTTGGCCACTATCAGTAGCCGATTACGATCCTTCTAACCTCTGTCGCTCGTCGACTAAGGTTATTCTTTCGACCCCCATTGTCAGACAACGGACTTTCTAACCATTGTTGCATGCTAACTATGTAGGGTCCTTCCGACCTTCGTCGCAAGACAAAAGTCTTTCTGACCAATGTCGCCCATCGACTACGGTCCTTCTAACATTCTTTGCTAATTATAGTTGATATATCCTAAAAGATTAATCATGATCGTGCATGAATCTCGAGGCAAAATCAATTTGGAAACTTCCAAAATCAAATATGGGACCATCCGAACTCCGATTTCAGTACTTATAGTCGAACTGAACGTCTCTAAAACACGAACTAACGACATCAAATTCGACTCAATAAGAGCACAAATGAGTCCAAATCAAAGACCCAAAGAGCTTTTAGAAGGTTCAAATCATAAATTGGATGACCAAATGGTTTCCAAAGGTGACATGCTTATACTTGAATCGATCGGCTCGACGAGACAAATATGGGACCACCGACCATCGTTGTTCTATCGCTGTACTTCCGCTCGTCCACCGGCTGACGCTGGACTTCTATCTGACCACCAACTGATACTGGACTTCCACCCAGCTTCCAATTATTGTTAGACTTACACCCGACCACCAACAAACGTTAGATTTCTACCTGGTCACATATCGTCGTTGGACTTCCACCCAGTGGTCAACTATAGTCCTTCCGACCTCTGTCGCCAGACAATGGTCTTTCTGATCACTGTCGCCCGCCGACTACTATATTTTTGGCCACTATCAGTAGCCGATTACGATCCTTCTAACCTTTGTCGCTCGTCGACTAAGGTTATTCTTTCGACCCCCGTTGTCAAACAACGGTCTTTCTAATTACCATTGTTGCATGCTAACTACGTACGGTCCTTCCGACCTTCGTCGCAAGACAAAAGTCTTTCTGACCAATGTCGCCCATCGACTACGGTCCTTCTAACATTCGTCGCCAAACAACGGTCCTTCGGACCTTCATCGCCTGGTGACTAAAGTCCTTATGGCTTCCTTCGCCAACTACAGTCCTTCCGACTTACGGAGCCAAACAACAAACTTTCTAACTTTCGTCACCTACTGACTACGATTCTTCCAACCTCAATCTCCACAAAATGGTATTTCTGACATATGTCCTCAAACTACGATCTTTTTTACCTCCGTTGCCCGCCAACTACGGTCCTTCTAACTACCGTCACCCGACTACGATCTTTCCGACCTCCAACGCCCGCCAGCTATGATCTTGCCAACCAAAGGAATATGTCAATACTAATTTTTTCAATTCTCACCATGTAATGCACTTTATATGATGCATATTTGCTACATCAAGTCAAAGCCTTCCCCCTCAATGAAGGGCCTCAATGCCTCATTTGTAATTGATTGTAAACACTAGTGGACTCATTTAGGAGTTTTCAAGTGAAAACTCTAATGTCACTTATAAACGATATACCCTTTCTTTTATTAGATTGTGTATTGGATCTTCGTACGTAGCTAAGACGTTAAATTTTATATTTCTCTATCACCATGAATATTTCAGGACGCAACAATAGTATTATGTAGATCACAATTTAGAATATTATGAAGAGCACGATTTGTTGATTCCATTCAACTTGATAATCAACAAATCTTTATTAGAAGCTAAAAATAACAAATGAATAGTTTATGCAACTTTCTCTATGTCGTTAACCTCCATAATCCCAAAACAGACAAGAATATATATAAATTCGTTAAGCTCCATAATGCCAAAACAGACAGAATATATGAATATACGGTCCATATTTTTTCTTGCGCCATATTAACGGCTAGCCTTATTGCAAGTTTGCAAGACGCCCGAGTAGTTGGGCTTCTAATCTCCTTGCCCAAAAAAGCTCTCCTTCCTTCTATATAACTAGCTCCTCCTCTCCATCCAAATCCAGCATTTGCATCCCCTCTAGATCAACTAAAACCTCGACTGAAAACGACGCCCAATCGCATCAATCTCGATGGATCAACAAAACCACAACACGCCCCAAGCAAACGGCGACATCACCGGCGCTCATCTCTGCCACCACCACCACCAACAACAACAACTTCGAACCTTATGGGCCGATATGTACCGCGAGATCGAGCAAATGAAAATTTTCAAAAACATGAATCTCTCACTGACTACCATCAAGAAGATAATGGAGACTGACGAGGACGTGCAAATGATCGACGACGAGGCGCTGGTGGTCTTCGCTTGTGCCTACGAGATGTTCATCCTCGAGCTCACCCACAGGGCATGGACACACGCCGAAAAGAACAAGCATCAAACTCTCCAAAAAAATGATATAGTCGCTGCAATCAGACAGACAGACAGACTTGAGTTCCTTGAGGATATAGTATAATCAACGGACGAAGAAGGAGAGGGATGAGGCAGTTCCTAAGGCGATCACTGCTGGGGTGCGTAATTGATTCGTTGCAACAATAATTGATGAGATGTTTTATGTTCTTTATTATTATAATACATTCTTTGAGATTCGTAAATTGATGAGATGTTTTACGTTCTCTATAAATATAATACATGCTTTGAGATTCGTAAATTGATGAGATGTTTTATGTTCTCTGTTATTATAATACATGCTTTGAGAGTCGTAAATGGAACAGTGTTAGTTGATAATATTAAGCTTGTTATGTATCTCAGCGAAGAAATTCTAATGTCTTCTGCACACTTCTATTATTTATATGTATAGGCTAATATTTATAGAATATTAACATAATATTTTTTTTCTCTGTTATCTTAAAATTTTAACACGTGATAGCTATATTGTAAGAAGATATATAAAGATAACAGATTTTTAGATTATTTATATTCGAGCATCTAATTGAAATAAAATTAATGAATTTAATGAGTTAGGCTTTTTTAATATACCTATATATGATTTAAACATTTATTATTCTTGATACGTAATTCAAAAATTATCTTGGTCGGGCACGAATCTCGAGGCAAAAGCTAGTTGGAAACTTCAAAAATTAATTTTGGGAGTACCCGAACTCCGATTTCAGCGATCTTATAGTCAAACTGAGCGTCTCGGAAATACGAACCCAACGACACCAGGATCAACCCAATCCGAGCTCAAATGAGTCCGAATGAAGGGCTCAAAGCGCTGTTGGAAGGTTCAAACCGCAATTTGAGTTACCAAATGGTCTTCGATTTTGACGAGCTTATACTCAAATCGAACGGCTCGACGAGTCGAATCCAACGAGCCCAAGATCGCCGAATTCCGACATCATTAAGGCCTTCAAATGCCCAACAAACGGTACATGATCAAAGGATTCGATATCGGCCGTCCATTAAAAACACTCCCAATTCGCCCATGATCTCACGTCTATTTACGGGCTATGCCACTCCAGAAAAACTATAAATAGAGCCCTCATTCTACACCAAATGGACTCAAGTGAAGAGAGAGAAGAAGAAGAGAAGGAGGAGAAGGAAGAAGCTCCTCGACCACCGCCGGAGCTCTTCCTGCCACCTAAAGATGCCGGAACTCTGCTGAATTTTCGAGAAACGTCGGGAATTTGCAGAACTTTGTAACTTTGTGAGAAGTTGATTGTAAACTGATCGTCTTGATTTGTAAGACGGATCAACCTTTGTACTTCATACAAACACTAGTTGAACTTTATAACTGGGCGAGGCCCCGTGGTTTTTTCCCTTTTTGGGTTTTCCACGTAAAAACTCTGGTGTTCATTTTTCTTTTCTGTTTGTGTGCGGAATACTCGTGCAATGCTAAGGCGAATATTTTCTAACTCTACCGCAACGTATATTCTAGCACGCAACAATTCTATAAAAAATAAAACTATTATTCACAACAATTTACTTTATATTATTTAAAATTAGATAGAAGATATATATACAAAGTAAATATATGGATACATAATTAAACATTCATCTGATCAAGCACGAATATTGATGTAATGTTTGAGTTGGAAACTCGTAGAATTAAATTGATGATGATTTAAACTCTTATTTTTATAAACATATAAAAAAACTAAATGTACGTTTTGATTAGATAAATTCAATTGCATCAAAAAAAAATTTTTTTTATCAAAGTCTAAGGAAGTCCATATTAAATATTTGAAGCATTGTTAAAAAGTTTGTGATATTAATTTAAAAAATCAAATGATCTATGAATTTTATGTGCTTAGAATCACAACAAACATCTTGATGAGATGAATCCAATTAGTATAAGATAATTTAATTTGTTATCATTAAGTTGCTTAAATACGGAAAAAAGTAATCTATGATCAAAAGAATATGGATTCACCGATGGAGTATTATGATATTTTTCCTAAAATTCTATAAATAGTTCTTAATTTATTCTTCATAATTTTCCACCATCTTTAAGGATGATGCACATCATTAGCTTCGCCGCCTATCGTTGCCAATAATATCGATACAAGTTATCATATAAAGACCTATGCACGCCATCAGTATCAATATTGTTGCTTGTTGAAAATTTTGCCTATATTCATCAATAACATCGATACATGTCATTGCCATTAAGCACGGTGCATGTCATCTACTTCAAATCTGACTTTGCATTAACATTATGATTTATGTTACCTCAAAGGAGAATGACCAAATACATCATAAAATGATATATTGAAGAGATTCAAACGCCTTGGTGGTCCTCCAACTACTAATATGCAATTCATCCTTCATAAATCATATATACTATATTGTATCATTGTATTTTTTAATTATATGAAAGGACATCATTTACAATCAATAATATAAATTAATAAAATTATTTCAATTGAATTAGGCATTGATTTTTTTTTTCCTTCGAAAACTTTAATGTAAAAATTTTAGTTTCTATAACAACCTTCTTTTATTTTTATATGCTAAATATTTATATATTACACTTATTTTAAAATGAATTTGAAGATTATAAAATTTGTTCCGGTCAGGGGCGGTCTAGCTTTTTTTTTCAAGGTGGACAAAAAAATTTTTTTTTTTGTGGGAGATGGTCAAAGACACTTAGGATTAATAAAATTAGGACAATTTTTTTTTGAGAGGGGGAAAAATATCCAAAATACTCAAAATATTCTAAAATATACTCTCTAAAATTAAATTTTTTTATAGAGTGCCCCTCAATCCAATGGGGATCCGCCCATGATTCCGGTGAATTTTTATTTGGATATCTTAATAAAACAATTTCAATATAATAAATTAATTATTAAAACTCTCTTCTAACTTTCATCTATTAATGTCCAATCTTGTACAATGTAGAGCAAAATTTGATTTAAATTTAAATTAAAATAATTTGACTTGAATTAAACTCAATATAATTAAATTTAAATTAAAAGCCTTTATGTGAGGAAAAATATATAAATATAATAAAAATTACTTTTAAGATTATTGCGTGCAAGAAAATTTGAGTCGGTAGATTGTGTCTCACGTCTTATCAGCGTATAAAGATTCAGTACAAATAGATAAAAATAATAAATCTAGAGAAATTTTTGGGTGAAAATTCAGAAAGGGAAAAATCACAAGGTCTATCATAATTGTAAAATGCACTATGTCGTAAGTGATATAAAAATCATCATTTCTTCACTGTTGAAGAAGAGGAAGAATATAAAGATAAAATGTTCATGGATAGACAATCTATTCCCAACAACATGGAATAATTTTATCAAGAGTAGTTTTAGTAAGTCAGTATCCGCAGGCGGACAAAATATACCCAACAAGAGGTTTAAATCTTTAGAGTATTCTGAAAATGATGGTCGTTGCTAGTGATAGTAACTGATGGTTGTCGGCGACAACGATGGCTGAAAAATGCAAGTGAGCTCTAACTAGTTCTCTTTTATCATTTTTTTCCTCTTCCCCTAAGAAGAATAAGAATCTATTTATAATTTTTTAGAGTGACATGTTCAATAAATAAGAAGAAAATTAAGGATAAATTTGGAGTTCTATCAAATGGCTCATAGTGATTCCTTCGATCATAAAACCTTCATCAAGCATTTAAGTGCTTTATTGATGTCATAATTAAGTGATTTTAGGCTCGTTGGATTTGTCGCGCTGAGCCACTAGATTTGATTATAATCATATGTCATATTTGGATATTATAAGGTTCTCAATTAATGTTTTAAAGCTTTCAAATAAGCTTCAGTCCATTGATTATCTAGCATGTTTGAACTTAGATTGGACCGATTTATGTGTCATCGGGTTCGTCTTGTCTAAACATTCAATTTAAGTATAAGTTTTTTGATATCAGTGTTTGGTTGGTTGCAAATAAAAATTTGATGTTTTTCAATTCAAATATGCTTCAACATTCGTGACAAATCAAGGTAACAATTGATGACTATCATAGATAAATTATAAATGTGATTTATAAATAATGAAGATGATATTTATTTTACAATAAATAGATTTTAAAATAATAAAATTAATATCAAATTTTTATCCGGATATTTCAATACAAAATTTCAATAAACTTGTTACTTATCTCTTAACTTCGAGAAATTAGTGCATGCGGAATATAATTTAATTTGTATATACAAAGTAAGCAATGTCATCATAACACGCTCTATATAATTTGTATGTATATTATAAAGGAATAGAGAGGAGGAAGAAGAGTACGGGTAGAGCAAAATAAGAAATTATACTTTTTGTATATAGAGAAAGTTAGAGTACATGTGAATATATAGAGGATAAAGGAAATAAAGAGAACTAGTTATTACAAAGAACTAGCAGTCGTACAGTATTTAGCCGTTACTCATATTATCCCCCCGCAAATTGATCTTCCTGTAGAGGAAGGATCAATTTATCACGAAGGCTTTGAAATTTGGTGATTGCCAACGGTTTAGTGAAGATATCGGCTAACTGATCGACAGAGCTGATGTGATTAATGGAAATGGCTCCCCTATCCATATGTTGGCGAAGAAAGTGATAATCCAGTTCGATATGTTTGGTGCGAGCGAGGAAGACAGGATTTCTTGCCAAGGCGATCGTGGAGGTGTTGTCACAATAAATGTTGGTAGGAGCAGGTTGGGGTAATTGAAGATCTTCAACTAGGCGTCGCAACCATAGGACGTCTAAGGCAGCGGAGGAGAGAGCACGGTATTCGGCCTCGGTGGACGACTTTGCTACCGTTGTCTGCTTCTTGACGGACCAGGATATGAGAGTGTTGCCGAGATAGGTGCAGAAACCTGATATGGATTTCCGATCGGAGGTGTCAGAAGCCCAATCAGCATCCACGTAGGTCTGGAGGGAGAGGTTGCCGGGAGAGATTGGTAATCCGTAGTTGAGCGAACCTTTAATGTACCGCAGCAGTTGCTTGAGGAGCTGAAAGTGACAATCAGTAGGAGCATGCCTATGTTGGAAAATTCGATTTGCGGCAAATGCAATGTCTGGTCGGGTAATGGATAGGTACTGTAGAGCTCCAGCGATCTTGCGGTATAAGTGAGGGTCTGCGAACAGTTGGTCGTCAGCAGTCGAAGTGGATCGTGATGGTGTGATCGGTGTTGGAGCTGCGCTGCAGTCTTGAAGTCCGGCATCTTGAAGAATCTTGAGGGCATAGTGACGTTGGTTGAGTAGATATCCGGAGGGAGTTTTGAGGATCGGATTTGAATTCCGAGAAAAAGAGACACGTTGCCGAGTTGTTTGAGAGCAAAGTGAGACCGAAGATAGTGAAGAAGAGACTGAATCGTGGAGGGATCGTTTCCTGTTAGAAGAATGTCGTCGACGTAAATCAGAAAGTATAGGTGAACATTTTGTCGATGAAGAATAAGGATAGAAGGGTCGGAACGACTAAACCTGAACCCGAATTTTTGAAGTAGAGAGGTGAGTTTATGAAACCACTGTCTCGGTGCCTGTTTAAGGCCATAGAGAGATTTTTATAATTTGCATACGTGTTGCGGGCGTGTGGTGTCAATGAAACCGGGCGGTTGCCGCATATAAACTGTGTCGGTAAGATCTCCGTGGAGAAAGGCATTTGATATGTCGAGTTGGAGGATAGACCAATGCCGGTGGATAGCCAGAGTGAGGAGAACCCGGATGGTTGGCATTTTGGTGACTGGGCTGAAGGTCTCAGTGTAGTTGACACCAAGCATTTGATCAAATCCTTGTGCTACCAGACGGACTTTGTAGCGATCGACAGAGCCGTTTGGTAGTTGCTTTGTTTTGAACGTCCAACGACATCCAAGTATTGGAGTGTTAGCAGGTTGTGGTACAAGTGACCACGTGCCTTGACGTATGAGGGCGGTGAATTCTTCATGCATAGCAGCCCGCCAGTGTGGAATTTTATTCGCCTGAGCAAACGTGGAAGGAGTGAGCACGTTAGTGTTGATAGCTGAGAGGTCATAAATTTGTTTTGGCTTATGGATTCCAGATTTAGCCCTTGTTTGCATAGAGTGCTTATGAATGATTTTCGGAGATGCTGTAGGAGGATCTGGCAGCATGGGAGTAGTTTGGTTGACCTCGTCTGAGGATGGTGCGTGGTTAGCATGAGTTGGCAGGTTCTGACGAGGGCTGTCGTGGGATGCGGGTTGCGGAAGGAGCGTAGGCGTAAGTATGAGAGGTGGGATGAATTGAACGTGTGTATCCGGAAGTGGAGCGAGACTTTCTGCCGTTTGTTGATAGGAAGTGGAGCGAGACTTTCTGCCGTTTGTTGATAGGGAAAAATGTTTTCCTGAAAAGTAACATGACGAGAGATATGTAATTTATTAGTGATAGTATTGAAACACTTGTACCCTTTTTGATGAGATGAGTAGCCGAGGAAGACACACGGTTGGGAGCGGGGTGAGAGCTTGTCATTGGCATACGGCCGAAGCCACGGGTAGCAGAGGCAGCCGAAAGTGCGAAGGTGATCGTACGTTGGAGGAGTACCGTGCATGATTTGGTAGGGAATTTGATTGGAAATGGCTGTGGATGGTAGTCTGTTTGTTAGGTAGACTGCCGTTGCGACGGCTTCTGTCCAAAAATGCTTGGGTAGATGGGCGTCTTGTAGAAGATCGGGGGTGAGTTCTATTAGATGGCGGTGTTTCAGTTCTGCAAGACCGTTTTGTTCAGGGGTGTGAGGGCAGCTGGTTTGATGAATAATACCACGAGCTGCAAGAAATGATTTGAATTGAGTGTTGTTGAATTCGTTGCTGCCGTCTGAACGAAAAACCTTAGGTGTTCGCCGCCGCAGTCTGAACAAAAACTGTATGCTCTGATACCATAAAGGAATAGAGAGGAGGAAGAAGAGTAACACAACTCAACTTGGCCTGTTGGTTGAGAGCTTATGCTTCAACTAAGAGGTTCTGGGTTCGAGTCTTTGTGTATGCGTGGTGTGTGTGAGTTTGCCTTAATTGGCCTAAATGTCCCAAAAAAAAAGAAGAAGAGTACGGGTAGAGCAAAATAAGAAATTATACTTTTTGTATATAGAGAAAGTTAGAGTACAGGTGAATATATAGAGGATAAAGGAAATAAAGAGAACTAGTTATTACAAAGAACCCAGCAGTCGTATAGTATTTAGCCGTTACTCATATTATATTATAGGACAAATTTTTAAATGAAGCATAGTTGCTAAAAGTTTTAGGATTAGAAGCATAAAAAAAATAAAAAAGAGCATCCACGTGAATAGTAATCGTGCTTTTGAACAAAATTCAAAGCAATATGACCTTTTGCATGGGAAACATGATTGGGGCTCTGCATTTTCAATAGAAAACGGAATCCTACTTTGTATTTTCCATGCAAAATGCAATTTAGACATGAGTTTTCTGTAGAAAGAAAAAATATTAATTTAAATAATAGCATACAAAATTTTTACTTTAGTTAAAAAATATCATTATACATATATTCAATTTTATTTAAATTATTTATAATTATTAACTTTTATTTATAATTAAAAGTTAAAATAATTTTTTTAATTTTTTAATATTGAATATAATATTTATGACTTTAAATAATTTATAACTATTAGCTATTACCTTTTATTTATAATAAATATTTTTAGGAATTATATTATTTAGATATAATATAATTTTTTTAGATATCATATAAATAACTAAAGTCTGTTTTTGAAGTAGGTATTGACTTGTTGTTTATATAATATAATATAATTCCTAAAAATATTTATTATAAATAAAAGGTAATAGCTAATAGTTATAAATTATTTAAATTCATAAATATTATATTTAATATTAAAAAATAAAAAAAAAAGTATTTTAACTTTTAATTATAAATAAAAGTTAATAATTATAAATAATTTAAATAAAATTACATACATGTATAATCATATTTTTTAACTAAAGTAATAGGTTTTTATGTCATTATTTAAATTAAAATGTATATTTCTACAGAAAAAGCACACCTAAATTGCATTTTGTGTGAAAAATTCAAGCCCCATCGCATTTCCATGCAAAAAGCCATATTGCTTTGCGTTACTATTCAAGTGGATACTTCTTTTTAATTTTTTTTTTAATGCTTCTAATCATAAAATTTTTAGCAATTATGCTCCATTTAAAATTTTGCCCTATATTATATATATACCATGTGACCTATTTTAAAGTTAATTTCACCTTAACTTCCGGTCCCCATGTTTGTCCTGCGCACGGCTGTTTAGGGTTTCTAGAAAATTCTGTTTCCTTCCGTAAGAAGCTCGCTGTCTCAATCCAAATCCAGCTTCAGCTACCCCCTCTAGATCAAATTGAAACCTCCATTCACAGCGGCACCCACTCGCATCGATCTCCATGGATCAGCAAAACCACAGCACGCCGCAGGCGATGGGCGTCGCCGCCTCTGTGACCTACCCTGCCGCCGCCGCCGCACCCTACCAAGCCGCCTATCAGCATCTCTACCACCAGCAGCAACAACAACAACAGCAGCAACTTCAAATCTTCTGGGCCGATCAATACCGCGAGATCGAGCAAACCACAGATTTCAAGAACCACAATCTCCCTTTAGCTCGCATCAAGAAGATCATGAAGGCTGACGAGGACGTGCGGATGATCGCTGCCGAGGCGCCGGTGGTCTTCGCACGTGCCTGTGAGATGTTTATCCTTGAGCTCACCCACAGGGGATGGGCTCACGCCGAGGAGAACAAGCGTCGGACTCTCCAAAAGAATGATATCGCCGCTGCAATCACCCGAACTGACGTCTTTGACTTCCTTGTGGATATAGTGCCGAGAGAGGAGGGGAGGGACGAAGCTGTTCCTAGGGCGATCCCTGGTGGGCCGGTTGATCCGCTGTACTACTACGTTCCGCAATAATTGAGGTGGCAAATTGAGTGCCCTGCTGCCTTCTGTGTCCTGAGGCCTTATTTATGTTGCTGTTGAGGTTGTTCTTACCTTTAGAAAATTATCATGGCCTCGCATTCTCTAGTTTGCGTAGTTAAACGGCTTTGTTTATCTAAACTTATATTTGATCGCTAAATTGGATGTGAAAATATTTTATGTTCTCTTATATTAGTAATATGTGCTTTCAGAATCGTAAATGAACCAGTTTGTGATAGTTGATAAGTCTGTTTAGCTTTTTATGTGCCATTATATTAGATTTTTTTCATGCTTTTTGATGATGATGGTACTGTCATGCTTGTTGTGAATAATACACGCCTATGGTTTATTGGTCCGTGAGAAGGCCTATGGAATGAATTTGCATGGTATTGCGTTGAAGTTTAATGTGCTTGTGCATAAAGGGAAGCTAAGATGCAACACATTTTCTTCGCACTATCATCCTTTGTTGAATTTGCATTGGTTACACATCTTTTATGGGCTTTCATTTCTTCTGTACTCAACAAGTTTATTTAAATTTTATGGAGTAGTTTCTCATCATGCGATTTGCACTTTACATGATTCCTTTTATGCTTTTTCACTAATTTTGCAGAAACCTCAGTGTTTTTTCAGTGGGATCAGTGGCTTCTATTTAAAAATTTGTTGATTGTGATGTTATTTGGTTGTAATTTTGAACAATCTATTCAGGTCAAGTCACCAGGGTTTGGTCTCATTCCATCAGATTTGAGTTGAATGGTGTGATGAAGTTGGACAAATTCTGTTACAGTATGACTTCTATTAAAACTTTAATTTCATTGTTTAGTATTGCCAAACATGAATTTTATCTTTGATGTTCTATGGCTCTTACATAAATGGTTTGGCAATACAGCTAAATACAATTCGTATTCTTTCTCATACATATTATGCTTCTTGTATTTATAGGTTCACAACAAAATGGTATATAGTTTGTTCTGTAATTGTTGTTGATATATATTTTTTAATCTAACTTGCATATAATCTCTCGATAATTACTTCACAACAATTTGAGTTGTTTTTTTTAAACCCTATCTTTCATTATCATCATCATTTCTATTATTCCTAAATCCTAACTATTTTGAGGTTATTTTTATCTTTTTATTTTTTTTTTGTATAGGGTTGCATTGTTGTAAAACCTATTCTTTTTTAATCTTTTTGGATAAATTTTATCAAAGTTTATGTTTATTCTACTTCTTTTGCTTCCTAATTCCTCAATACCAAATTTATAATTCCATTTAATGGGTATATTGTCTATTCTTTTTTATAAATATCAATACCACTAAAGTCCATTTTGAACGACCCTTAGTAGCTGTTAGTATCTGTCCCTCTAATTTATAATTCGTTTTATATTTCTTTTGGCAATATTTTTTGGTTTCTTGTAAACATTTTAAGCTTTAATAGTATTCCATTTTACCACTCTTTAAATTAATATTTATATCCCTTTATAATTTTCTGTGCCTCCTTATTATCCTCTTTGTTAGATTTCTAGTTTTCGTATAAATTTTATAAACCTTAATAGCATTCATCTTTTGCCAATCTTTGAATTTATATTTATATTCCTTAGTAATTTTTGGTGCCTTCTTACTCTATCACTACGTATCCCTACTTACGCACAAGTTGTTTCTAGATATTTCTAAAACTTTCTATGATCATATTCTCTTGGAGCTAGCCATAGTACCCGTTGCATTTTTTTTCCTACTATTCTATAATTATCATTAATTTTCCCATGAATTATCTATTGGAATGTATACATTCAAGTCACCCTTGACATAAGTTCTTTCATTCGCAGTTGTGTGTTTTCATTCATCCATTCCCGAAATTTGATTTTTTCAATCTGTCTTCTAATTTAACTTGAGAATCATATTCACTAATAACATGTACAAAATTTTCATCAATAATTAGCTTAGTAATAACCACCCAATTATTGATCTTATTCATTATAATTGTATCCTTTAACTCTATGCCCATTACTATCCAATCCAATCTGCATTAGTAACTTTTTCTTGTACCTCTTTTTGTTTTTTTTTCCCTTATATACAAGCAATAATAATTCTTTTCTAATTATTGTCTTCATTTTATTGTCTTCTCAATTAAAGCCCCTAAATTACATGTTGTAATTTCTGTTTTAGACCTAGAACTATAGCTTACCTTTTAATTCTGTTTGGTTAAATTGTTGTCAATCATTGATGAGTGATATTCTAGCTAACCCTTGCTTCATTTTTCAATACAATCAGGTTAAGTTGTGGTGCTTCTATTGTCAGTGACATCCTAACCAACCCTTATTACTTTTTTTTTCATTAATATTTAGTTAAGTTGTGGTGCAACACGTACGTGTAATGTCCAAGCCCTAACAAACTCTTGCGTGCCTGTCACCTTGTCGAGTTAGTTTATGGAATGCTGCTCCTTGGGAACTCTAAAACACTAGAGAGAATCAAAATTTGATTCATATTTTTACTTTCAGCAGAAGTTTTATTATTGTCTATCAACTTAATATGAGCAATTGATCTTTCTCATCTGGGATTGTTATTGGGGTTATGATTTTAAACTCTATCAGCATTTCCTGTTAGCTTTATTTTATTGGCAAATGCAAATATCCATGTGTTTTTGCCTTTAATCTATGTGTATGCGAGACTTCATATAAGTAGCATTCAATCATGTTTTTTTTTTCAACCCATTTCACTTTATTCTAGTTTCTGAGAATTGAGTTTGAATGAATTTACTTTGGTTTACATTTTTGAGCCATACCTTAAGGCTTAAGCTTTTGAGTTAATGGGCCTACTTGAGAATGACAACTCAAATAAATGTACTTGAATGGAAGGAATGGAAGAAAGGAAGAAGTTATCTTTTGTTGTTGACTAATTGGTTTACTTGTAGCTACATATTATTTATATGTGATGCAGGATTATTGTGCTTTTAAATGGATGCGATAAGATTTTGCACGATTTCTTGATAAAAACAATTATGATTTAAAATATTTACAATCAAAATGACAAAATGAAATGTAAGAGGGGTAGTCACGCTTAGGCCAAATCACATGCCAAACACTCGGATTATCAAAACAGCTTAGAATTTCAACAACATGCGAATTAAGTAGCTTTCAATAAAAATCTCTAATCTAACAATAAGATAGTAACATAGAAAGCACACTCAATCCAACGTTTACTAAGCTTAGGCATAAGGCGAAGCATGGCTCCTTGTGACTTGTCACCACCTACAAGATTAAGGGATTAGGAAAGTAAATGAAAAGGGGAAGAAGTTCACCCTTGAGAAGGTCCGAAGACAATTTGCCAATGGGCGCCGGCAAGTTGCTCGTCGATGGCCTCCGATAGCGTGAAAATAATGCAGTCCACGTACTTTTCGATGAAATGATCAACCTCCAGGTTGAAATCAAAGGTGGAGTGGAGGATGTTAACGTATCTTTGCTCATCGTAAGCAAATCCGTAATTCATTGGCTTTGGAAGGATGATGTATAGCCGGAGGCTCCACTAGAGAGAAAGAAGTTTCTCTCAAAATTGAAGTAGAGAGGAGAAGGGGATGGCCGGCCAAGGAAGGAGGGAGGGAATTTAATTTGGTTCAGATTTTGGTGGAGGGAAAGTGTTCAAACAATTCTCCAATTAATCCCCTTGATTATTTAATCAAGAAAGAGGAGGGGAGAGAGGGGCCGGCGACAAGGGAGAGGGGAGGGGCTTTAGTTTAATTCCAAAAGGAGAGATTTTCCTTTGGAAATAAATTAAATAGGTGGGGCTTAGGGGATTTTGGCCAAAGGAGGTGGAGGGGGAATTAGGAATTGTTTCCAAGAGGAGTTTAGAGGATTTAGGGAATAAATCCCATGGGATTTAATAAGGGGGGCCGGCGGCTTCAAGGCTAGGAGGGGATTGTGGGGAGAGATTAGGGGTTGCTTAATTTGGGATTTAGAGATTAGGAAAGATATAATTAAATCTCAATTAATTTGAAATTTAAATAGGATTTAATTTAGTATCTTTTCTAAAACAAATTTCCTAAACTACAAAATAATTTTCAAATTCAAATTATTTTGAAATTTGAAAATAAGCTTTCTTAAATTAAGATTGACCACTTATGGAAGGTATTCAAGAGGGATTTGAATTGTGGAGGGAAGATGGGAGAAGTGAGGCCGGCGGCTAGGTTGGAGGCTTATGGGGATTTCGGTGGAGGGGTGGTGGTATGGTGAAGCTGGCGGGTAGGTGGGGGGATTAGGCGGCCAGCGGCCTAGGGATTGAGCGAGACCTTAGGCCGGCAGCTAGATGATGAAGGGAAAAGGAAAACTTGATAAATAAGAAAAACGACAAACCCGGCCGTCTCCAAGATTGGTGGGTGATCTAAATTCCCGCTCAAATGGATCTCGCTCCAATCTCTCTCAAACTCTCATAAGAACTCGACGATGCCCTCTAGGCTTACATACGACCTCTCTTAAGGGGTAAAAGCGAAAACACTAATAAAGCAAATACAACATAAAATAATAAAGAAAAATACATAATATGACTTAGAATTACATCGACTCAATCGTGGCCGTAGATCGACGACCATGTCTCTAATAGAGTTTTCAAGTTTCGATGTCCCCATTAATATGTCACTAGAAATTCATCCAATCAAGCACAAATTTCTAGGAGAAATATGAGTTGGAAACTTCCACAATTAAATTTTTCGAACCATTCAAACTCCTATTTAAGCAAACTTATAGTTGGACTAAACATTTCAATGTGATGAACCCATTGCCATAAGGTAATCTGATCTGCCTTCAAATTGAGTCTAAATCTAGCACTTGAAATGTGGTTGAAACCTTTAGGAATTTAATTAGTGGACCAAATGATCCTCAATCTTGTACACTTATTGTCAACTCAAGTGTCTTGATGAGAGGAATTCAACGAGCTTGATCGCTCAATCATGAGATCATTATGTCATGTAAATGTTTTAAGAATAATATGATTAAGTGAATCAATACGTGCCATTGGATGGAGCATTTTGGGATTTTGGCTATATTAACCAAAATGCCACCAGAAAAAAAATATAAATAAACCCCATTTTCTAGGTGAAAAGGATTTTAATTTGAAAGAAGAGAAAAATGCTAAGAGTTTTGAAGAGTTCTAGAGTTCTAACTAATCACCATTGTCAGCAGGTTGGGTCGTCGGGTCGTTGGGGCGCAACATGGCGTTATTGTATTTGCGTCAGGATGTAGAGCTACGTTCAGTGTTTGCACCGAATAATTTCTCCATAACAACACATCCGATTGAAGCGTCAGGCCAGTGTCAGTTTATTTATTTATTTATCTTTACTCTTTTCTTGATTATTTTTTATTTATTTTTTTAAAGCTTTTCTTAATTAACAACTAGGGTTAGAATTTTCTATTATGTGGCTTCGTTTGGGATGGCTTTCTTTCTGCTCATTAAAGTAGCTTTTTAGTACAAAATTAAAAAATTTTGAACTAGAAAGTTGCTTTAATAATCAGAAAGAAAGCCGTCCCAAACGAAACCTGTGTCGATACTTTTTTTTTTCGTTCTTCTTTTGTGTTCTCCTCGTCTCTTCTTGATTTCTCCTCGAGCTTTAGAGGAGCATCTTGCCCCAAGGTCTTTTGACCTAATCCATGGATCAACCTAAGCTATCTCATCTCAATGAATCTCACTCCCGTCTTCTTCTCTCTCATTCGACTCCAAACTGTGATGAATTGGAAACATTTGCTTTTCACATTCCTCGGTTCGAAAACTTATCTGAACTATATCCCATGCGCTGAAGATGAGATCTTCTCCAGGTGAGGAGGTTGAAGAAGGAGATTAGGTTTGGTGATGCGCTTTGGTGGGTTATGCCATCTTTTAATTGTAGTGAGCAAATTGTGGAAACACAAAAGTGCGTTTGATCTATTAGTTTTCTTATATGGCTTAATCCTGTTCAATTTTACTTGTGCAGATGAAATGGAAATGGTTTATTGACATTTGACCTTTTATTTTTAAGAGAGACATCTGAGTTTGTTTTCTATCAAGGAGGATTACGAAGACATTTTCATTTGGGTAAAAAATCTCTAATCTCCCCCTCTGTTATTGATTAATAAAGAATATTTCTAAAATTGCTAGTAAAATTGAAACCCCTTACACCTGTTGACCCCTCATTGTAAATATATTGAGGTTGGCTTTACTGTTCATATCTTCACCGCATATATCCTTTCCGATGAGATCACCATCACTATAAATGAAAAAGATATCTGATGTCTTCTCATCTATTAAGTTTCTAGTGACCTTTATTTATGCTAATGCCAATTACCCTTACACTGTTTGCTTAATCACAATTCAACTATGTTTATCTGATGTCTTCTCATCTATTAAGTTTCTAGTGACCTTTATTTATGCTAATACCAATTACCCTTACACTGTTTGCTTAATCACAATTCAACTATGTTTATCTGATGTTTTCTCATCTATTAAGTTTCTAGTGACCTTTATTTATGCTAATACCAGTGTTGATTTCAACAATTATATTTTCAATACAAGTCTTTTAGAGTTGCCACATAATTGTCTTTCATCCGTTTGTTTAAATTAGCAACTGCAAAAACCTATAAGATGACTTTTGGATAGCGCAGAATGTTGGCCATTAAAAGAGAAATATAAAAGATTAAAAGTAAGTTGAGTGTTTCAAAGATGAAGATGTTCAAGTGGGTGAGTGGCTTCACTCTTAGAGATATAATGTGTAACGAGTATATATGTGAAAAAGTTGGAGCTGCTCCAATGGTAGATAAGATTAGAGAGAGTCACCTTAGATGATTTAGACACAAAACATCAGACTTCTGATGACCCTATTAGGAGACTAGATGTATTAGATTGCCTATATTAAGAAAGGTAGATGTAGACCTTAAAAGATTCGGTTAGAAAATATTGGAAACATTTTTTCTTATTAGATTTAAATGAAAATTTGACTTATAACAAAACAATGGGGAAAAATATTCATATAGCAAATCTCAAGTAGCGGAATAAATGCTTGATGTTGTTGTTTGAGATGATTTAGCACTTGGATAGACCCACCCATATTATTATCCAATTAAATTTTCTATCTAACTTCATTCAACTTAGTGGACAATGTTTCTTTTTATCTTTTCAAGTGCATGATTAACATTTCGTATGAGTTTTATTTAAAATTGGATTTCATTTCATGTGAAAGCAAGATGAAATTTTGGGTGGGAGAGAAATCCCTCATCCTATCCACGTTATATAAAAGACCTTTGTGTGTGAAGAATATTTTAAGTTTGAATATAGCCTGCCTTGCAAATTCAATCTCTCTCTCTCTCCTTGCTATGGTAGTATGGTTGGGCAAGCTCTTCTGCTCCTTTTGGTATTGTACCATTTATCCTCTTTTTTTTTTTTTTTTTTTTTTTTTTTTTTTTTTTCTGGGGATGTATTTTGAACTTGAGACGGTTAAGAGAAACATCAGCACTTTTTTTTTTTTTTTTTTTTCTGGGGATGTATTTTGAACTTGAGACGGTTAAGAGAAACATCAGCACAATTCTATATAGCACACATACACTTGAACAAATTATTAAAAAAGAATGCCTAAACTCGCTAATTCCATTAGAAAATTTGATGAGAGGAGATTTGGACCGGAGATCAAGAGCTTTCCTCATCCTGCCGCTGTCTGCTTTTTCAATTAGATTAAGGTTTCGTTCAAACAACTGGTTCAAACCATTCTATGAAGAACATCATAATTCATGAGATCCTTATGAGTGATGAGCTTTGGATGTACCAATCAATGGCTCCTTACGAGTGATGAAGGTGATAATTAATCCCTCCATACAAGATAATATGGTTTAATCTTCCACTGAAGATGATTTGATTTATCCCTCCTATAACGATTCACAAGAATACCCTTCTCCTTGGGGGCAATTGCCCCCTCTAAAAAAATTAAAACTCTCTTTATAATTAGGATAATTTAGTAATTTGTCTCCTTTACTTATTATTTCTTGTCCTAATCGATCTCTTTTCATGCTTCGGTTGCATTTCGTTCCTTCGTCGGTCCTGCCATCGTTTGCTCATCTGAAGGTCGAAGTTCGGAGGAGAAATTTATTTTAGGGATAATCTCTCTTTGTTGCAAGCTCGAACATTCAAAGAAGCATAAAAGGTTTAGTCTTTTATGTGGGATAATCTCTTCAAAATCCAGAATAGTCTTACAAGATAAATGAAAGTTTATCAATTCATTTAAAGTATAGACAAATAAAAAATCTTATATCACATAAATGATAATATATTATACAATACAAGAGAACTAAATCACTCAAATAAGTTATATAATTATAATGCAATATAAAAATTTATTATGAATTTTGTCTTATTTTCTTATAAATTTGTTGCCCATAAAAATTAAAGTTTCATTTGGGACAACTTTATTATTTTAGAAAATGATTTTTTAGAATAAATTTTTTGCGCTAATTTTTTTTTTTAGAAATCATCAAGAAAGCTCTTTGAAACGAAGCCTAAGTCTGATTCGGCACCTGCCTCTCCTCAACTTTTATTTGGTCCGGTGAACGTATGTAGAGCTACGTTTGGCCGGTATTCAGATCGCGCCACGTAGCAGATAGAAAATGAGAAATACCGAGCAAATATCGAGCAATATCTGCAATAACGAGAAATACTATTATGTGAAGACAAATACTGAGCAATACCGAGTAATACTGAGTTTATCTAGAAAATACCGAGTTTTTTTCTAGAAAAGACTCGATATTGCTCGGTATTACTCAGTATTGGCCTTCATAGAGCAGTATTTCTCGTTATTGTCAAGTAATACCAAGCAAAAATTGAGTAACTCAGTGATAACCGAACGTAGAGATACGTCCGGTCAGAGGACCTAATAAAAGTTCCTCCTCCACAGGTTACCTCTCTCTCTCTCTCTCTCTCTTCTCTCTCTCTCTCTCTCTCTCCCCCTCCTCTAACATAGTAACATAGGTTATGATTCCTTCTTGTTTCAGGCCAGAGATCGAAGCCATAGAACTAAGTTTTTGAAGTGCAAATTTTTGAGAAATGAATCTTTTGAATTTGGTAAAATTTTAATAAGATGTCTAATAAAAAATTAATTAAGAAAAAAACGTAATTTAAAAAATAAATTAAAAATAAGCAAAAAAACTAAATAATTTGATTTTTTTTAACTCTAATATATTTGACGTTTCAAATAGATTGGTGTTTATATAAGAAAATTTATAAAATATTACGAGAAAAATTTAATGTGTATATAATTTATTAAATTCTTATTATAACTTCAGTTTGGTTTGGGTTGATTTTTTTATTATTTTTTAAAATAATTTTTTAGGAAAAAATAAAAAAAATTTGTACTTATGACTTCAGTAAGAAATCCATTCTAATCGAAGCACTTCGTTTGACAACCAAAAGTGGTGGCTGATTTTTTTTTTTTTTGGGGGAATATGAGGGCAGCAACTCATATAATTTTATGAAAGAAAGTTTCAAGTAAAGTATAATAAAAAGGTTAGACCTCATACAAAATAAGAAGAGGAGTAACCCAAAATCTATACCTCCCAAAAAGAATAAAAAATAGATATGCAACAAAGAGAAGAAGCTAGCAAAATATTGGAATGAGCAAAAAAACGGACTCAGACTGCTAATCAAACACAAACCAACATAAATCCAACGTCACCAAACATATATCTTCTGTTTGCCCGTGAGGCCCTCCAAGTAGATGATTAGCAGCTACATCATTGTCCTGCCATGAAAACCAACCATATAAAATAGCCAGAGGTTGCCAAAAAGACCATCCATGGACCAGATACATCGAAAGCAGCAAGTAATTCCCCATCAAAGTGAACCAGCCGGTAGTAGGCAATAAAAAAACCAACGAAAGCATAAAGGAATGCAAACAAAATTCCTGCCATAACTCCCTTCCAACCTGAGCAGCACAGAACAACAAAAAAATAGACCAGACATATGAACTAAACAACATATTCCTCTAGCCAAAAAACAACATCCAACCAATAGAAATGGACATAAACCTTCATCCAAAAAGAACAACCACCCAGCTGAGATTCATTAAGAAGGCTCAGGGATTCTCAGATCATCACAATGCTTCCATGTGGAGACTTTCTCCTCAAGTGCCAATTTAATGATAGAGCATAAAGTCGAAACACTCCTAAATTTATAATTAAATTTTCTTTCATTTCTTTCTCTCCAAAGATAGTATGTGGCACAACAAACTATAAGGAGAAGAAATCCTTTTTGGTTATTCAACAAGTAGTTCCTTTCTCCCAAAAACTGAAGAACTTGTACAAGTTGAGGTCTCAATAGAAAGTCTCCTAAAACATGAATCAACTTTTTTAAAACAGAGAAGGCATAGTCACATTCAACAAGAACGTGAAAATTAGTTTCAGCATGTAAGAAGCATAAAGAGCAATTAGGCTGAACCACCATGTTCCTTTTGATAAGCTCCTCAGTAGTTTTAAGCCCACTATTTAAAGCAGTCCAAGTGCATATCGAATATTTCAGTGCATGATGTTTATGCCATACTAAGTTAGTCCAATCAGATATGGTATCCTCCCGAAAACAAAATTTGATAAAGGATGAAAAACAAGGCTTCTTCCTATCTTTCCAAGCAATAGTATAAGTAGAGTCAAGATTAACCTGAGTATGCCCAATAATTTGAAATAAAACATCTTTAACATTGCTCGGAGAATTCCAAACTCCCTCCACTAGAAAATCAGATACCTTTGCATGATTTTGGATAATAGATTCCAAATTACAGTTGGGGAGAACAGACAAAAGTGGCCTACCACCAATCCACGGATCCCATACCATAGCAATTTTACCTTTAGATTTGATGTCAAAATGGATACATGATGAAATCTGCAAGGCCACTTTCCCATTTTCTCTCCAAAGAGAAGAAGCTTTGTAATGAACCGGAGTCCAAGGAGTGCCATATTTAGTATTCAGATAAGAGAAGAGGGTTGATTTAGAGTTGTAAAATCTGAAAAACAAAGAACAAGAATTTGCAAATTGAAGGGCTTGAAGATCCGGAATGCCCAACCCCCAAAAAAATTTGGGCTTACATGTTCTCTTCCAAGCTATGAGATGTAATTTTTTAGCCTCCGTGTCTCCAAAATAAAGATATCTAACACACATCATGTTTAAACTCTTAAGACAAGACTTTGGTATTATAGCTTCTCGAATCCAATAAGCTATTGTATTCCAGACTGTATATTTTAAAAATTGAAGATGACCAATAAGAGAAAGCAAACTAGCTTTCCACCCAGCCAAATGATCCGAAATGGAGTGCAGAAGAGGTTGAAAATCAACTATACAGTGTTTCTTGGCGGAAATGGGAATTCCAAGGTATATCATCTTTGCACAATAAGAATGCATATTAAGGGCCACCCAAATATCCGTAGGAGAAGATATGAAGTTTGAGATTATGAGCTTACTTTTTTCATGGTTTACCATTAAGCCAGAAACCTTCGCAAAGGAGTCTAATACATCCATAAAGACCTTGCAATTGTGCTTTGTCGCTTCTCCAAAACTGAGAAGGTCATCAACATAAAGAAGGTGTGAAATTTGCATGTCCTTCGTTTGGATCCCAATAAATCTATCCCGAACATCAGGATTATCAATCATACAAGTAAAGACATCCATTACAATACATAACAGATAAGGGCTAAGGGGACCTCCTTGTCTGAGACCCGAGGAGGAGTGAAAATATTCCTCTAGAGCTCCATCAATACAAATGGAGAAGTGAACATCCCATATACAAGCTTTAACCCAATGCATGAAGAGAGGGGGAAAACCTTTTTGACTCATTCTGGCCAGAAGAAAATCTCTTGAAACAGAACCAAAGGCCTTCCGAATATTCAACTTAGCACAAAACAAATTTTTCTTTGCAGACTTTTTCTAACTCCAAAAGCAATTCAGAAGCTTGAAGGATATTATTAGTGACAATACGATCTTTAATGAAACAAGCTTGATTTTCCCCAATGATAATATGCATAATATCCTTAATTCTCAATGCCAAGATTTTGGATATTATCTTATAAAAGACATTACAAAATTGAAACCGTCAGGTCCGGGAGAGGAGTTGGAGTTTCCATTAAAAATAATTGCCTTGATTTCATCATCAGAGATCATCATAGTTAACATATTAGATAAATGAGAAGGAATAATAGTACCTTTAGGAATAGAAGAGACTTCACATAAAGAAGTAGGCTGTGGAGCATTAAAAAGCTTCTCAAAGTGTTGAATGATAGAAGAGATCAAGTCCTACTTGACAAGAGGATCATCATTAGAGATCAAAGGAGAAGAGCTATGATTTCTTCTCTTTCTAATTCTTGCGTAGATAAATTTTAAGTCATCTTCCCCATGAGAAAGCCACTTCAGTTTAACACATTGGAGCACCCAATTAGTCCAGGAAGAAGAGCAATCTAAAATTTGAGCATTAATGTTTTTGAGGGCGAAGATCAAGGAAGATTTTTGAGGATTAGAGTTTAAGAAGTTCAGTGGTGGCTGATTGGGTCTATGAAGAATATGCATAGTTCAATATCTCGAGAAGAATGTAGATATTAATAAAATTAAATTAGAAATTATATAAAAAAATTTAAATCCATGTTTTTTATTTAATATAATAACTATTAAATTCATAAAAAATATATATTTAATAAATTCATATAAATACATAAAAATGTTATAAGTTTTAAATAAAACATTGTTTAAATGCTATATTTAATTAAATATTATTTTAAATAATTAATGATATAATATTTAACTAAATATTTTATTAAAACTTTAATACACTAACAAATGTTATTATTAAATCAAATACTTGAGCCAATATGTACAAGGCCTACTAAATACTTATCACATGACCACAACCAAAAAATGTTGACAAGGTTTTTATAAATTATTTATTTTTAAAATTTTTTATTTTAAAAAAATGTCAAATTATTTTGTGATTTTGCTCTTAAAATTTTCGAATAATTATGCTCTTCTTATTTAATTGCGGAAACCAAAGGGTTGTCTGTTTAACAAGCGGAGTAGCACTTGCTTCTGAGATTTTAAAACAATTCTGTGTTTCATTGAGAATTCAGGAAGTCTTAGAAATCAAATCCCCAAAGTTTATATTCACCTCGCCAATAACTCACATTTCACAACTCCAAGAAAAAGAAAATTTTGAAACGAAGACAATCACAAAAATAATCCCCCTTCTGAGAGATCAAAGAACAAAAATCATGAACAATTCCACCCCACAGGGCAGCAAGAGGGAGGAAATAAAATAATAAAATTTCTTGCCTAAACAAAAAGAATGAAATCACAACCGTAATCATAAAACCAAGAACAAGTAGAGATACTGTTTTCACCCACACAGAATAAATTTACAGGCAGGAAAAACCAGCCCCGAAAAGCACAAGAGACAAATGGTAACCGCATTTCTGGACAACCACTTCATTGGTCTCCAGTTCACCTTAACACTCGAACTCTTCATCCTTTTCGACACCTGCGGCTCCTTAGAAAGATCATAGCTTGCCCCTTTCATCCTCAACTCCTGGACACACCGAGACAAAGCTCTCCCCTCTCCTCTCTCCCTCTGCAACTTTTCATAAATCCTCCAATAGCTACAGATCCTCAACTGCACCGAAAAGATGAGAACAAGAGAAGTCACAAGGGAGATGAAGCCAGGCACCCACCAGCCGCGGCACGCCTGCCTCTCTGTTTGGCCTAAGGAAGAGGTAAAGAGAAGAGTGAGGAAGATTCCATGGAAGAAGAAGAAGAAAGAACAGAGCTTGAAAGCCTCCCTTTTAATGGCGTCAAGTTTGGTTTCTTTGGCTCCAATGCGGTTGGTGAGAAGCTCTTCCTCGCGTTGCCAGAGCTTGAGGAGAAGCAGATGTCCAGGGCTAGCGGAGATCTCGGTGAGCGGGTGTTGCTGCATTGCGGAAAATAGCGTTTGCTGCGGCTGGATTTCGATTAAATGAGATTCTGCCATTTTTGGTGAGAAGAAAGAAAACAGGGGAGAGTGTGGAGAGTGAGATCGAGAAATAGAAAGTGGAGGAAAAGGAAGGTGGATCCGTGGAAGTGAGATGGAGAGTCAAGAAATGGAAAGAGAAGTGGGACTGGAGAGCGGATTGGTAGGATTTTGTTAGTGGATGAGAGAGAGAGATTCGAGACTACTTGAAAGGGCGAGACTAACGGTCGAATTTTAGGTACTTCAAGGCAAAGGGAGTTTCTTTTAAGATTACAACGGTTGAAATTCGACCGTTGGGAGGAGATTTCTTTGAGTGCATCATTAAAATATGTATTGTTACACTTAAAAAATATAGAATTTAAATGTATTGTTACACTTAAAAAAAAAATAAGAAAAATTAAATTGTTCTATTTTATTAGGTGGTTTAATAAAAGTAAAAAAATTACAATATTTTAATTTGAGGAGTATATAATTGAGCAAATTTTTTATGTATCCAAAATTAAAATTTATATAAAAATTTAAGGAGTTATTATTATTATTGATACGTCATCAAAAAATTATCTTGATCAGGCACGAATCTCGAGGCAAAATCAAATTGGAAACTTCCGAAATCAAAATTGGGAGCATCCGTACTCCGATTTCAGCAAACTTACAGTCAAACTGAGCATCTCAGAAATACGAACCCAACGACACCAAATTTGACTCAATTCGAGCCCAAATGAGTCCAAATTAAAGACCCGAAGCGCTGTTGGAAAGTTTGTAACACAATTTGTGTTGCCAAACAGTCTCGGAACTTGACAAGCTTATAGTCGAATCGAGCGGATCGACGAGACAAATCCAACGAGCCCAAGATCGCTAAATTTTGACACTATTAAGACCTACAAATGTCTGAAGAATGGTCTATGATCAAGGGATTCAATATCGGCCGTCCATTGAACCCCTCCACATTTGCCCCTAATCTCTCACCTTTTTACACGCCATGCCACTCCAGAAAATCTATAAATAGGCCCCTCATTTCTCTTGAGAGGGGGGCCAAGTAAGAAGAAGAGAAGGATAGGAGAGAAGAACTCCTCCTCAACCACCGCCGGAGTTCTTCCCGACGCTTGTGTGACACTGGAATTTGGCCGGACGCCCGAGTGACGCAGTAATTCTTCCCAAGTGACGCCATAATTCTGCCCGATGCCAGAATTCTACCAGACTTTCAAACGACAACGAAATTCTGCTCAACTTCGGAACGACGCCGTAATTCTGTCCGATGTTGTAACTGATTTTCAATCCTGAAAAGATTTTTTGTAATCTGATCGTCCTAAGTTTTAAGGACGAGTTAGTCTCTTGTATTCCAAGCAAACACTAGTGAAACTTTTTCAACTGGGCGTGGCCTCGTGGTTTGTCCCCTTTTTAGGGTTTTCCACGTAGAAATCCCGCCGGGCCACCACTTCAAGCCCTTACCTCTGCCGGACCACCGCCTGACGCCGTTACTTTGCCGAACCACCACTTCAAACCCTCACCTCCACCGGACCACCGCCTGATGCCGTTGCTCCACCAGACCACCACTTGAGGCCCTCACCTCCGCCGAATGGCCACTTGAGGCCATGTGCTCCACCAGATACCACATGAGGCCCGGACTTCTACTGGGCTACCATCTGATGCCCAGAATTCTACCAGAGTACCGCCCTACAGACAATGGTCTTTCTGACCCAGATCTCCTGCCGACTACGGTCCTTCTAACCTCCGTATCCTACTATGGTCCTTCCAACCTATATCAAAATACGACGGTCTTTCTGATCCCGATCTCGTGCCGACTATGATCCTTCAAACCTCCGTCGCCTACTATGGTCCTTCTGACCTCCTTCAACAGACAACGTCTTTCTGACCCAGGTCTCTTGCCAACTACGGTCCTTCTGACCTCCGTCGCCTACTATGGTCCTTACGACCTCCATCAATAGACAATGGTCTTTCTGACCTAGATCTCTTGCCGACATGGTCCTTCTGACTTCCATCGCCTACCATGGTCCTTTCGACTCCATCAATAGACAACGATCTTTCTAACCCCGGTCTTCTGCCGACTACTGTCTTTCTGACATCCGTCGCTTACTATATCCTTCCGACCTCCATCACCAGACAACGGTCTTTCGACCTCCATCCTATCGACTATGATCGTGCCGACAAAACAAACACATGTATTGTAACTCCACCATGTAATACATTATATATGATGTACATTTGTAACATCAAGCTAGCCAATGCATTCTCCCAAGGAAGGGCCTCATTTGTAACGACAAATACTAGTGGATTCATTCAAGCTACGCCAGGCCCCGTGGTTTTTCCCCCTTTTTCAGGGGCTTTCCACGTAAAAACTTTGGTGTCTCTTATAAACGCTACACCCTTTCTCTAATCTGATTGTGTGCTGGATCTTCGTACAATGCTAAGACATTAAACTATATATTTCTCTACCGCCGCGAATACTTCAGGACACAACAATTATTATTATTGATGATTGACATTTTTTGCTTATTGGAGGATAATTGATGTTCTCCATTCAAAATATAATATAAAAATTGCAAATTATCTTTAATACTACTTAAAATATAAATATCTATCATTCCAAGAATTTTAAATTTATTTTGTTATCAATTCTATGCATAAAAAATGTCATAATAGATGACTTTTATTTAATGATAAGAAATGATATTTTAAAATGTAGGGACTTCCAAATAATTTGAAAATTGAAATCAAATTCATCTGTTCTATGTGACATTTTTGCAATTAATAAAAGGCCTTTAAAATGATCTCTATATGCCTTTCAATCATACTTATACTTTTAATACACTTTGATAAACTATTAAACAATCATAAAAAATGTTAAAACTTAGATTTCATTTGAAATAATTTTTTACTGTTTTTTAAAACAATTTTTCAGCATAAATTTTTTATAGTAAATAGTTGCTTAAGAAAACAGCTTTTTTGAAAGAAAAATTATTGAAAGCAAAAAAAAAAAAAAAATGGTGACTGAAAGATGTTTCAAACAAAGTTATAATCAACATATGCGTTTTATATCATCATTCTTATGTTTAAAGATTATGTAAAGCATTGGGATGAAATGTGAAGATAAATTGGGAGGAGAATAATTAGCATTCTTGTTAGATGCAAAAATCCATCTATAATATTAATATTATTAGTGAAGTATGATTTTATAGTGTAAATGAGGTATTAAATGATTTATTTTTAATTTGAATTTTTTTTAATATTAAAGTTTTTTAAATCTTAGCAGATTATTCTATCTCTATGCAATCATAGATGAAGGTGGATCTCATTGAACAAAGTAAATCTTGTGAGTGCATGGGTTTATCTATCCTATGTTTGCCATCCTAGTCTCTTGGTCTATTCTCCTATTAGAAAAACGACTTAGCCGATCGCTTACTATCGCCCAACTTTTGATATTTTTAACATATAGTTCACGCGATAACAACTCAGACATCTCAAACTTCCGTTTTATCTTCGATTTCTTAGTTGTCTACCTATGCTGTAACCGATATTATTTTTATCAATATAATTCCCTTTCAAAAAAAAAAAAAACTCAGACATCTCAAAATAAATTTTACTTCTTTTACAAGAGATTTTTCCTTTGAAATTATTTCAACTACATAAGACTTTTTTTTTTTAATTTCATTATTGAATGTTTCATATAAAAAAAGTCATATTATGTATAAGCTACTCTAAACTTATTTGTATGTATGCGAGATTTTCATACAATTCTAAGATGTTGAATTCTTTATTTTTTTCAAAATTTTGATGTACAATAATTGGGAAATTTAATTTTTTTCCTATGACGACTCTAGTTAAACTCACTTTAAGATAGGATTTTTTTTTTAATTGCGTGATAATTATTTATTTATATGAGAATATTTTTATCTTATAAAAGTAATTTTTTATAGTTTTCTTGATTATTATTTTATGCAATAGAAAGGAATGCCCTGCAGCCATAGGCGGATACAGTGTGGGGTCCATGGGGGCAGCGGCCCCCACTGATTTTGGGATTAATTACAGATTAATTCCCTCAAATATTACATGCCGACGACAGTACTCTTTAAGGAAATATAAGTGGCCCTCATATTTCTTGCTGGCAATACTCTCTTAAGAAAATATAAGTGGCCCACCAATTAATTGAAACAACATACTTGCCGGCGACACTCTTAAATACAAATTAATAAACTTTTCTTATTACTTGCATGTTGCCTTTCCCTATTCCGCTCTTGTATTTCCCTATTCTACACAGCTGCACAACCCCAACAACTCCAAGACCCCCGCACCAGTTTCACTTAGAGGATGAATCTGAACCCCGCCGCCGGCCGCCCATTCACAATTGCCAAGCCCAAATTCCGCCGACCATCCTCTGTCCGACAAACTTTGTCGCCTCTCTCGAGCCTGAGCAATGATTGTTTCTCCCGCTTAGATTTCATGTTATTCTACTTTGTTTCTTGTTTGCTATGTTTGTATACTACATCAAGGGTTATTTGAGACATGTAAAATTATGTTGACATGTGCTAATCTGATTTGGTTCTATTGCTATTTGTTGTGCTCTAGGTTCCTTCTCCTTCCCTATTCCACTTCTTGTTTACCTTATGAGAGTTATTTCCCTTGTTAACTTTTTCTGAAATTTTTAAGAGATTTATTTCAGTGGGAAGTTATGGAATGATTAATTCTCTAGAAGGAGGGTAAGTTAATATTATAGTTCTAAACATGTTTTATCTATGAAACCTATTTGAGCCTCTTACAATCCTACACTTTTTTTTATGAATCTCAGCTATATAATTTAACAATAGATTATGCTTATTATAGTCCCTAGTTCATTACAATGATTTTTTTCTTAATTAGATGTAGCTATTTTTTTTATGTCTATGTTAAATTCAGAAATCTAAAGTCCATTATTTTTTCAGTTAAATTCTACATATGAGCTTAGAGCTGGGAATTGCATGAATTTCATTAAATTGAGTACTCTGCAACTGATAGGTATGCCCATT